AGCGATCTACTCCAAGTTTTGTAGCAAGAGTGGGCAAAAATCCCACAATCTAAAATTAACGAGATGATTCTCACGATGCCCCAAAAGATCAACGAACTCCACGAAGTGAAAGGAAGATCTACTAGATATTATAAATATATCAATTCATGTGAATATGACCGAAAAATTACATTTTTTCTGAAAAGGTGGCGTCTATTTACTTGTGACCACGCTGTGTATACACATTTTCAATGGGATAAGCTGGGTACACGTTGTGTGGCTTTAAAGGTTATAACAGAGTCAATTCTGATATTACGAAACCAGTACAGTTTCCATTGACTACAGTTATTTTTATATTTTTAACCTATGTATAAATGATAGAATAAGATTAAGCAATTAATGAATGCAAGTGCAAAGTGTGTTTTATTATATTATTCGGGTGAAATATTATTTTGTTGTTTCATAAGTGACTTATATAAAAAATTAAGAGGCACGAGATTAAGATTAATTATTAAATGTCAATAGGTGGCGCTTGGCCTACTTAGATTTCCTTCATTATTCTTACTCAATTTCTTAATCTTTTTTCCGGCACACTCTCTTTACATTTAACATCCTCTACACTGAATCCTGTTAAACGTTCTTTTACACTTCCTCATTTACATTATTATTTTAATAACAATTGTATTTTCTTTAGTGCAAAGCTTCACGATAGGCTATCTGCGCTTTGTCCACTTCGGAGAATAGAACCCCATTTTAAACGTTGTAAGTTTATAAGCTTACCACTGACCACTTTGGAGCGTCTATTGCTTGAGTCCTTTTTTTTCTTCTATTAAACGTTTTAAAACCCCATTTTCTCTTACTTCTTTAAACTTTCTATTATAATTTAAATTTTTAAAATTTAAAGTTTTAATCTTATCATCTAAAGTATCAGGCTTTTCATTACGTTTGTTGTAAGGAGTAAAATTTGACTATTTTTAGAATGGTTTCATCGAATTCATCTAAGGAGTAAATCTTTACGCGTGTCCAAAACGTCTGGAACCATAGGTGATCTGCAGCTTTTCTTAACTTCAGATACGTGAATGATTAGCGCTGTCAAAGGCAAAGTTAATTCTGTTGTGTGGCAGAGAAGGTTGCTGTCGTCCAGAAAGATAGAGGCAGAGAAAAAAAAAACACATCACTCACAGTGGTCTTGGGAAATTGCTAGCTAAAGTTAAGGAGAATGTCGAAACATTGACAATGACTCGAATATGCTTCGCACTGTTCAAAGAAAATAGAAATAACGTCTCCAAATTTGTTTCGAATTACAAAGACACCACGTGAAACACATTCTGTAAAATTCGTCGAAGTGCCTGTGGTTCCAGACTTTTCGGACACCAATTTTGATTGTACGAAATATTAAGCGTGTTAAATGGTGTTACAGATTGCTCGTGAATGAGTTTCCTTTTAAATTATACAAGCAATTTCGTAACCTTTAGGCTGTTCTTCAAGAACTCTGTATTCGTAAGTAAGATGACACAACATTTATTTACATTAAATCAGTAGTGCAGTAATTTAGTGAATACCTGAAATGATTGCTGGTGTTTTCAAAAATCGTTGTTTGTTTCACTATGGTAAAATGAAATGACGAAACAGGAGCAAGTACGTTGAAACTGGCCACACCTGTGGGATACGATTTGTATTACGATTACCTAGTATTTCTTTCTACACATCTACAGTCTCATTCTCGGTAGTTTGAAGTTAAGCACAAAGCTACAAAATGGGCTATCTGTGCTCTGGCTACCGAAATCCTGTTTCTAGCGTTGTAAGTCCGCAGACATACCACTATGCCACTGGGGGGCATTCTTAGTAATAAGTTAGTTTCCTTTTCACCGCCAGCAACTAAATTACGATGGTTTAATTTCATCATTATTCCAAAAGTAACATTTTCCATTTTTCTAATGCTCTAAAATATTCCCTATTAGTTTATCTAACATATGATGACGTAATTTAATTATTATTTCAAAAGTAGCATTTTCCCTATTTCTAATGCTATAAGATATTCCCTATTAGTACCTAATTTATTATGGTTTAATTTCATCATTATTCCAAAAATGGTATTTTCCCTATTTCTAATGCTCTTTGATATTCCCTATTAGTTTACTTAATTTACGAGGATTTAATTTCGTTAATATTCCAAAAGTGACATTCATCGCTATTTCTAATTCTCCAAGATATCCCCTATTAGCGTACCTAATTTACGATGATTTCATTATTATTTCAAAAGTACCCCCTTATTTCTAATGCTCTAAGATATTCCCTATTAGTGTAGTGCAACACCGCACTGCAGACAGACATTATTTACTATATAAAGGACTAAAAGCCGTCCGTATGTCCGTCTATCACGCTGATATGTCGGCCGTTGCGGTACCGATATTTAGATTTGAAGATAGGTTGGTAGAGATCGTGATGAGTAATAAAATCGATTCATATTTGCGCGCGTCCCACGCTTGGTATTGCTGGTGCACAAAAATTATAATCGTTGGCTGAAACTCCCCATTACATTTGCTTTGTTGTCAAAGAGACACATTGAAGCAACATCACCAAATTTTGTCTAATCGAAACCCTTGGCTACAGCTTTATAATAACCCGCATGTTTTACCCGCATCACATTTCAATTTTGAAAGGCCCAAAATAAAGCGCGTTTGTTCAGCTCAGCAGGCTAACAAGCTAAACCAGGGAGACTGCCTAAAGAGAAGACCCGGAAATTTATAATAATATTCACTGCCTTTACCATCACAATTAATCATTTGCAAGGCCATATAGTTGACCAAGTAGGAACATGTCTTTGAGAATCAGTTGTTTCGCATGTTTCAATCTATAAGAATTTATTAAAAAGAACATTTGAACATAGCTTAAAAATATACAGAAGTCAAAATGCTAATCAAGGAATACTTAAAGTAGATGACCAAATATGCATAAAAACAAATATTTTCGTGAAATACTAGAAACAGGATAGTCATTCTCCATACATGCATTGTTACTAGATTATAATTAACTTTTAGAAAACATGTTCATAAAACATGTTTCAAATATTTACTTAGATATAATTTTGAGAAGTTAATCATTATTTCCCGTCATATGAAGGGAATTCAGCTTGTTTAAAATAAGAGTATTGATTTATTTCACCAGAATAGTACTCAGTTGTTTATTATACATTAAACATTATTTTTATGCTCTTAATAAAGGTTTTTTCTGTTTTCCAGGTCGTATTATTACGATCTTGTAGTAATTACTAATAAAATTAGCTGGTCAGTGCAAACTCAATTTATTATGAAAAAAAAAAACTAAAAGATATGACGAAGTTCTGATTTTCAGCCGCGGCATAGCGACTCATAGAAGGGCTCTGAATTTTTATTTTTTTTCAAGTACAAAAATTTAGCTCATAGTCCCATCTCTTGACCAATTTGAGATATAATTACAGCCGCGGCTAATAAGAATTCTTTCTTGTCATACATGTTTATTGATATTTTCCAAAATTATAACTGATATATAATTTTTTTTAAATTGGAAAACGTATAGTTAAAAAAGAACTGCTTATCATTATTTGCGTTAACAATTATAATATAATCTGACTAATTGATATTTTTGAAAGATATATATAGTTTTCCTAAAAGCATTTTTATAGAACATATTTAGTTCGCTTTAAAACATAAGTTCATAAAGCCTTAATGGTTAATATGTATAAAAGTCATCACATATTAACTATAAAGCGATATACAAATCCATTAGGCGAAAAAGAAGAGAAAAAGCTACGTACGCCTCAACATTCAAGTCATTAGATGGAGAGAGAAAGTAAGTTATGTATATATTTTTTTATCTATATCTCAACATTGAAGTCTATTACTGGAGAGAAAAAAAGCTACATATACGTCAATTTAAGTTCATTAGCAGAGAGGAAAAAAGCTCCGTTTGCCTCAATATACGAGTTCATTGGGTGAAAAGAAAGAACGTTTTACCTATACCTCAACAAACAAGTTGGCGAAAAAAAACGTTTATCTTAATACACAACTTCGAATTACCAGGTAGAAACTACATATACAACAGCATACATGTTCATTGGGTTGCGAGAGAGAGAGAGAGCTCAACATATCAGTCTATTAGGTCAGTGCTTCCCAGACTGTGCCGCGGAATTTTTGCAATTATTAAGTAATTTTAATTTAGTAATGTAAACACATTATCAATTTTATAAATGTTGAAATTTCAACTTTGATTTATTATCTCCTTGATACACAACATAACAGTAATTTCTGCCTGTTTTAGTTAAGGGGCAGGGGGTGGGGTGCCATGCAGATTTATTTACATGTGCAGAAAAAGTTTGGGACATTAAAAGTGTGCCGCGAGCTGAAAAGGTTTGGGAAGCGCTGTATTAGGTGGTGTGGGAGAAAACACTGCGTACATAAAATACCACTAGGTGTTATACAAGAAAGTTACAGAGATTAAGAGGCTTTAAACAATCAACGAGAAACATTAAATATTATCAATAGTTTTACTAGCACTACTTCTAGCTGTTTCAATAATACTATTTTAGCACTTTCAAAAACACTATTTTTAGCAGTTTTAATAACACTAATTTTAACTTAAAATCTAGTTTTTCTATCAATTAAAGGGGCGCTAACCGTTGACTTATGGCATGACTAAAAAGGAAAGATAAATCTGAACATGTACAAAACACATATTTATTTCATATACAAGCCACATTGTGTTGTTCGGGGCTTGTGATTAATCAGCGGTTAACTTAGCTTTTCAATATCATAAACAATTAACAATATATAAGTAAAACGAATTTTCGTATGAAGAGATGTATATCAATCCTTCTGTAGAACCCAGAAGAACTGAACTGTCCAACAACTATGATATGGCAAATAACACCTGATTAATATTTCTATAATAATTTCAGTCATTCGATAAACATTTACAAACCAACACCTAGCATTACCGTAATGGGAAAATCGTGTTCATCGCACGTGTAGTAAGATCGACGAAATCTCGATAAACATTTATAAACCAACACCTAGCATTACCGTAATGGGAAAATCGTGTTCATCGCACGTGTAGTAAGATCGACGAAATCGAAAGATGGTATGGGTATCGTTTTCAAAACCTTCGAGAAATTTCCAGTCTTGATGTTCATCAACGGAAGGACGAGTTTCTCCTGTTGCATAGCAATCCTTAAGAAAACAAAAAACAAACTTACATTAGATATTAATGATCAACTAAAGTTCTTCTTGACGTTCTTCAATTTTTTGATACATTTTTACTTGTCTTAGTGGTAAAGTAACCAATTTTTATATCAATACTAGAGGTCAAATTAGTATATTGATTGCAACAGTACTTATTTAAATACAGGATTTCTAAAATAATACAAAAGAATTCTAATCGAAGACACTGAAATCTATAAGTCCACTTGTCTTAGTCCTAACATTAACTAAGCCTTTATTATTAACACTTTATAAATTAACACTGTAACTTGTGTAAGTTTTTTGCTTTAGTTCAGTTAGGGGTAAACCTTACCGCACTTATGACTATTAAT